ATATAAGCCTTTCGTGAAGAAATACAATCTAATTAAAAATCATAATACAATTCAAAGTTATTTCATTTTAAAACTTCATAGTTTTCATAGTTCATAGTTTAATTTATTTGGTATAGCCCTGTGAGCCATTCGGCTCTTGAATCGGGTGCAACCGCAACAAACAAAAAAATGAACAAGAAAACATCTTAAAGTGACTTTGTGCATGTGCAAACAGAAAATCCAGGAAAAAACATCAAAATATTCCTGAAATAGCACCATACACCAACGCTGTGTGCAAAAATCCCAGTGGGATGCAAGTCAAACAACAACAACAAGAAAACTTAGATTAAGGCCATCAGTCTAACTCCGTGTACAATAAACAAAAACATGGCCAAACCATGTGACTCATGCAGCTGGCTGCATGAGTCACTCCACAAACAACAGGAGCATCAGTCGGAGTATCACATTTTTCAATGCACCTTTAATATCAGCACACTAAATCAAAATACAGATAATACTTTGCAGCGGTCATCCGGAGCGAAACATTTTGTTTTATTTTAGGCCACTGAATAGCAGTGGCAGCTAGGGGTGTACAACTCCTCTAGAGCAGTTTTGAGTGAAGATCTCATTGGTAGTGATTCAAGTTGCAGTTTATTGGCAATAGCATTCCAGACCGTGGGGGCATCAATAGCAAAGGCCCTTCCTCCGGTTTTTGTACGGCAAAATGTGAAGCTGGTAGATGAGCGAAGACCTGAGGTCAAATTTGTTCTTTGAAACAGAGAGGAGATCCAGCAGGTAGTCTGCGGATTTTTTTATAAATACATCGTGAATAAATAAAATCTGGTATACAAGCCGTCGAACATTAAGAGATGTTAAGTTTGACCCAATGTAGAGATCACAGTGGTGAGTCCTATATGGGCAGTTCAATGCAAATCTTAAGGCCGAGTGATAGACGGAATCAAGCTTCTTCAGTACAGTACTTGGGGCTGATTTATACACGGTATCACAGTAATCAAGTAGAGGCAGTATGGTAGCTTTTATCAATTACAAACGGAACATAGGGGGGAAGCAGTGCTTGTGTCGATACAGAAAACCAATTTTTTTTGTCTTTTTACCAATATAATCAATGTGATCTTCAAAATTCAGTTTTGAAGCCAGGATGACCCCAAGATACTTATAGAACTTGACTTGCTCTATTTGATCATTATTTAAGGAATGTAATTTGGGAAAAATAACTTCCTGCTTTAGTCCCGGTGAGAAGCATAGCACTTTGGTTTTGGAGGTATTTAGGACTAGTTTAAGAGCAACTAGCTGATGTTGTAGTTTGGTGAAATTACCCTGGAGCTTAGCAATCATGTCATGCGGAGAGCGGCCAGCAGTAATCAGTATCGTGTCATCTGCAAAAAGATTTACCCTGGAATGATCCAGGTCAGTGCCCTAGTCATTGACATAAAGAGAGAACAAGAGGGGGCCGAGGATGGAACCCTGTGGAACCCCTTTTGTTATCTTAACACTGTTTGACCTCCAACCATCTGTGAATACAGTTTGGGTGCAAGAAAAGAGGTAATTTTTTAAAACTATTTTACTGTGTTTTTGGAAAAACAGAGGCAACTTAGTTTACCAAGCAGGGTGTTGTGGTCTGCTGTATCAAAAGCTTTGGACAGGTCAAGAAAAAGACAGGCACAGTACTGCTTATTATCAAAGCTACTGTAAATTTGATTCAGAGTCTAATGCAGATGTGGTGCTGTATTTTTTTCGGAACCCAGATTCTTTCAGATGTAGTAGATTGTTGATGGACAGGAAACTGCTAATTTAGTAGTTCAATAATTTTTCAAAAATTTTCATCAATGGGGACAAAATTGAGATAGGTCGGTAGTTATTGGGATCAATAATTTGCATGAGCAGGGGTTACTCCCAATACATTATCAAAAAGATTACCAGCTTCAGAAAAATGAAGGTTAAAATTGTCAACTATTTTTTGGGGATCTGAAAAATATTCCCCATTTCGGTTAAGCTCCAAGGGTAGATTGTCTGTTTTGGATGCCTTTTCGATATATTTGATTGTTTTCCAAAAAAATCCTGGCATTTCCATGCGATTCCAGGAGAGTGGAGGAAAAGTAGGCATTTTTTGCATGCCGTATTTTTTTTACACATCTATTCCTTAAAATCCTGTATTCTAGCCAGTCATTTACCAAATTACTTTTCTGAGCACATGCCCAAGCCTTGTCCCTAGTGTTCATGAGCTTTGTAATCAAAGGATTATACCATGGTGGGCGGTTGCCTTTAGTTTTATATCTAACCAACGGAGCATGTTTGTTAAGTATTTGGAGAAACGTGTACCTGAAAGTCTCCCAAGCCAAAGTCAGGTTGGGGATATCACAGACCTTACCAATATCCGAGTGAAGCACATCATTTGTAAATTCCTGAGTGCTGAAGTGCCTCAAAGAGTGCTTCTCAACAATTTTAGGGGGGGCTTTGGGTCTGGCTGATGATCTCACCCCAAAAATGAAGGAGTGATCACTAAGGTTATTACCCAGAACACCAGTCAGTGTGAAATTATGAGGGGCATTTGTCAATAGGACGTCAAGCAGAGTTGACTGTCCCGGATTTTTTAAGTTGGGTCTTGTGGGGACATTTATTAATTGAAACAGGTTAAATTCATCTGTAAAATTTGTGGCCACGGCCGGCGGGTTTAGCCAATTCTAATTTAGATCACCCACTAAAACTATTTCACCTTTAGGGAGGCCCCCAAAAAGCTCTCTCAGTGCCGATGCAGCTTCAACATCCTTCCCACAAGGCGGTCTATAGCCGCACACTACCAATATCTGTTGATTATTTGGGAGAGTTATTCTGAGAGCCAAACCTTCAAAACAACATTTTTTAAACAAGGAGTGAGCTGGTGAACATGCAATAGTATTACGAACATAGATGGCAATGCCACCTCCTTTAGATCCTCGGTCAAGCTGAAAAAGGGTTGTAGTTTTCAATCGTAGTCTGCAAGTCATTGACGGCAGGAGTGAGAAATGTTTCTGTTAGGCAAAAAATGGTCGGGTCAAGATTTGCCACTTCTAGTTTTAGTTGACTTAATTTAATCACAAGCCCTCTGATGTTGACATGTAGAACACCAACAACTTTCCTGCCAGAAAAATCTACAGAATTATACGAGTTATTTTCATTTGGGCCAGGATGAAGCTCAATACCACCCAGAAATAAGAAATGTAGAATTAACAGTTTGCACAAGTATTTTCTGTGAAAGGATGAAGAGCGGCGAACCTTGGACAAATAGCAGCAGCTCGCAGATGGTGTTATTTTTTTGAGCAGAATGAAGTTTGGAAGGAGTGTTGGTGAAGTAATGGGACAAAGATAGGGTTTAAAAGGATACAATGATAGAGTGTAGAAGTGTCTATGAGCTGTTTCATTTGCAGGTGTAGTGGCAAATCGAGCAACAAGTATTGACGCAAAATAACGAGGGTAGCCGTTTGTGGAGTTGAGCGTGGCACTAGATATGGAGCATCGAGAGACTGCGTGGAGGCGTCGTTCGTGTGCAATTTTTTTCGTGACTTTCCTGGCCCAAGGCCGTAAATGGTTGTGAGGGGCACCGCAGGCGGTCAGGCTTGCTTCAAGCCATGGTTGTGAACATCCAGACGTTAATCAGCAAGGATCATTTCTCGTCTTAATTCTACAAAATCTACGTCAACACGTAATACGAAATTATAATTCGTGTTGTAGCGAATGTATCTCCTCTACGTGTAACTTTTGCGTGGTATGCCTTGTAATTGATTAATGATCAGTGTGATCCCTATTTCAAAGACAATGAGTTGCTCCAGAGAGAGATGCTTTCTGAAAACGCAAAAATACCCTTTGACCTGTATCACAAGAACATGAGTCTCACCTGAGTTATCTGTAGAGGTTACTTCCAAACACACACTTTGTCGTAACATCACTTATTTAATGTTTGACCCTTATAGACAAAATGTTACATGTATGCACACAATCAGACAAGTATTCATTCTAAATGATGGAGTCATTTTAACAAAATTGTATTACTGCAGTGAAATATACTGCATCAGGTTACATCGCATTAACAAGAAGCTATTTAAAAAGTACGCTTAACAGTGTATGTACAACATACTATTGCGCCATTCAAAACGAGTTGGCCATTGCATGCTGGCGTCTGGGTCAAAATTGATCAAATTATAAACATTACCTACAAACTCCACAACCAAGATGCCACATCAACCATCGCCCCCTACTGACAGGCTCTTGTCCACATGCAGGCCAGTGCAGGGCCACCACCTTGTGCCACACAGGGGCAGCTGCTACCTGGGGATGCTCTTCAAGTGTTTGAGACGAGATACAATACAAAACTCCGAATTGCCAGAGGCGATTAAGTAAGCACCATATAAATTGAATTATTAGAACCTAGTTTATGCTTGGGAACTTATTGGTTCTCGCTCCTGGTTCGAGATCTACCCAACCCACAGGTCCACAAAGACTGGCCGCTCTTACCCTGCAGGTTGAACCTAGGAATTGAGTGTTTAACTTCATTCTTGACATGAAAGGCCTGTGACAAAGGTGCATCTATTAGAGCGACATCGTCTCTGCCTTACACATCTACCGGGTCTCCATTTGACTTTGTATTGTCTCGGACGAAGTCCACCCACACCTCCACTTCCACAAACTGCTGGGAGTTGCCTCGCTCTGCCTCACAGTGAGAATTTTCCTCCTGCTTCACGTTGCCTCCATCGATGTGAAGGTCCCATTTTGGAGTTGAATCTTCATCTTCACATTTTACCTTCACTTCTTCGCTCTTCACCATCACTTCTTCACATTTCACCTTCACCTCTTCATATTTCACCTTGATACCTTTAAAAGTGTCCAAGCTGGGATTTTCTTCCGTTTCTTGTTGCATGAGGGATGGGCTCATTGCGGCACTTTGACTTCCACAAGCTGATTTCAGACTCCACTCCTTGTGGATCATCTGATGCTTGCGAGTTCTCTGGTGTCTTTGAAGATGTGGTGACTGTGTAAACGCCTTCCCACACACACTGCACTTAAAGGGTTTCTCTCCTGTGTGTGTTCTCTGGTGTATTTGAAGATGTGGTGAATGTGCAAATGCCTTCCCACACACACTGCACTTGAAGGGTTTCTTTCCCGTGTGTGTTCTCTGGTGTGTTACAAGAGCAGATGAATCTGAAAACGCCTTCCCACACACACTGCACTTGAAGGGTTTATCTCCCGTGTGTGTTCTCTGGTGTTTTACAAGAGTAGATGAACGTGCAAACACATTCCCACACACACTGCACTTGAAGGGTTTCTCTCCTGTGTGTGTTCTCTGGTGTATTACAAGAGTAGATGAACGTGCAAACGCCTTCACACACACACTGCACTTGAAGGGTTTCTTTCCCGTGTGTGTTCTCTGGTGTGTTACAAGAGCCGATAAATCTGAAAACGCCTTCCCACACACACTGCACTTGAAGGGTTTCTCTCCTGTGTGTGTTCTCTGATGTGTTAAAAGAGTAGATAACTGTGCAAACGCCTTCCCACACACACTGCACTTGAAGGGTTTCTCTCCTGTGTGTGTTCTCTGGTGTGCTTGAAGATGTGGTGAACGTGCAAACGCCTTCCCACACACACTGCACTTGAAGGGTTTCTCTCCTGTGTGTGTTCTCTGATGTGTTACAAGAGTAGATAACTGTGCAAACGCCTTCTCACACACACTGCACTTGAAGGGTTTATCTCCCGTGTGTGTTCTCTGGTGTGTTACAAGAGCAGATGAATGTGCAAACGCCTTCCCACACACACTGCACTTGAAGGGTTTATCTCCCATGTGTGTTCTCTGGTGTTTTAAAAGACCAGATGAAGGTTCAAACGCCTTCCCACACACACTGTACTTGAAGGGTTTCTCTCCTGTGTGTGTTCTCTGGTGCCGTGTCAAATGTTCAGTACGATCCGTGCTGTTTGCACGCCGGTCGCAATTGTTGCCTTTTTGCACCGAGCTGCGCTGAGTGCCTTTGCTCCATCAGACAAATTCTGCAGAGGAAGCGACAGCTGCAGAGAGAAAAAAATTATATCCACACCATCTACATGTCAGTATCGATGCACAGAGGAATGCATACACACAGTAACACGTGACTTACATGTCTATACTTATTCATATATTCATGATATAGTGAAAAAGTGTCCCAAATTCATCACATGGGCTGTTATGGCACACAATGAGAGGGCAAATGTTCATAAACATGCCTGGAAGCCCTAGTATCTTCAAAATTAATGTTAACCCAAAACTCGGAGCACACAATTTCGGCTGTCTGGCTTTAAAAGGAATATTTATTAAAGCTAAATTCAGCAGACATAGCAAAGGGTGTGGAAAATAATACTGTTTGTGTTATGCATAAATGCATAAATTAATGTTCAATCGCAACTTAGAGGTGTGAAGCCAGGCACAGATGTCCTTGAATTCTGGGATGAACAGTTCCAACTTCAGCTGCACATGTGCTGTGATAACTTCCTGACTCCATTCTTACTAATGATTTGCAGAGAAAAACTAAAATAAACTACTGTTTTGATGTAACATCCGTGCTCAATAGAGTTAATAGACTTTACTGCAAATACAAACTTGACCCTGTCACACACTCAGAGGTGGAGCCAGGATTTTCAGGTAGGGGGGGCAACCCCTCCAGCAATGAAAAATTATAGGAGTTGTTAGTAAGGAGTTGTTAGTAAGTAAGGAGTTGTTAGTAGGGAGTTGATAGTAAGTAGTTGTTAGTAAGTAAGGAGTTGTTAGTAAGGAGTTGTTATTAAGGAGTTGTTAGTAAGTAAGGACTTGTCCTATGCTTTTCATTCGACGCGTGTGATAGGCATCGCGCTCGCTGAAGGTGTTTGCCATCAGGGAAGTCGTGTACTGTATACGCAACTGCACACAACTGCACACAATTCTGTGAGTCGCTTGTAACTACTTTGCCGTTAATTATTGTCAATTATGGACTCGGACTGTTGTCCTCTCATAGAGTCCCTGGCACGTAATAATATGCCACACGGTGGCAGTGGGGGTCGCAAAATGCTGATTTATCTAAATATATAAAAGGGAAATGTGTGGATATGTGTGTCTGTTTGAAATGTTTAGCATACTTCCCAACATGCTACACACTTGAAATTTGGCATGTGGGTAGGTTCCATACTGTACACAATGAAAAAAGTATGAAAATATACTTTTGTATTTTGTATGACGATGAAGTTTGTGGCGTCAACACGCAACACACCAGAGTTAAGCGCTCTGCAATGCTTAGAGCAAGTTCACAGCGTGCCGGGAGATTTTAGGTGGAGCTTCGCTCCTGGCTGATGAAGCCATTGGCTACTCGGAGTTTCAATACATCTCCGTGCGAAGAACGGGTACAACGGCTATCTTAAATATGAAGCAGAAAGAGCATCTGTTTGTTTGTGTGAAGCAGCAAAACCTCTCCAACGATGAGCTCTGGTGTCATGAAATTTTTACAGCTTATGCTGTCTGGAATTTCTAAGTGAACGCGACTATTTTAAGCTCGCCACGTCATTCCCTTCCGAAGTGGCCAAAATCGAACTTGCGTAGAAGTGGGAAAAGGTTGAATTTCCTTGAGTGAAAACATCCGATTTAGGTAACTTGATTTGTTTCAGCTTTTTACTTTCTTGCAAGCATAAACATTTTTAAGGGTTTTTCAGTGAAATATAAGGGAATATGAAATGTATCCAAGACAAGAATCCAAGTCCAGGGCGAAGCCAGGTAGTGAAGCTAGTTACTAATAAACCCCAATGATCCGATCGAAATTAGGGATTTCAAAATTAGGGATTTCGATCGGACAATTGGGCGGGCACGTGCCACCCCACCCCCACTGGCTCCACCACTGTCACACACTGGCATGGTTCACAGGTGGTGGTGTGTCCAAACCCATGCCTGGCCACCTTCACCTGCTCAGAATTAATGCTTCCTCACTCCGCCAAGTAGAGTGAACACCGCCACGCGCCCAGAGTGAACAACGCCACGCGTCTAGAGCGAACACCGCCACGCGCCCAGAGTGAACACCGCCACGCGTCTAGAGTGAACACCGCCACGTGTCTAGAGTGAACACCGCCACGTGTCTAGAGTGAGCACAGCCACGCGTCTACAGTGAACACCACCACGCGTCTAGAGTGAACACCGCCACGTGTCTAGAGTGAACACCGCCACGTGCCCAGAGTGAACACCACCACGCGTCTAGAGTGAACACCGCCACGCTGTTGACGAGCCTCACCTTGTGTTGTGGGCAGGTCGCTTCTGAAAACAAAAGCAGTACAGCAGCTCAAGCGGGCTTGGCCTGGTAAAAAAGAATGAAAAAAACTGCGTGAATATTTAAAAGTAAAACAAAGTGACAAAGTGGCGAGCCGAGTGAAGAAAAATTAAACTTCAGTGAGAGAATTGAAGCAAACGTGTTCAGGCGAGGGCAGGAGGCAAGGCCCCGCGTGGCTAGGCCCCGTGCTGTAAAGTTCCAACCTGGACATCGCTTCCATGCTCGCTGATACTCAATTGACATCCCTACGAGAGAGAGCGAGGCTCTACCTCGGTAAACAACAATCACCACCACCACAATCACCACCACAACCACCACCACCACTACAACCACCACCACCACCACCACGACAACAACAACCACCACAACAACCACCACAACCACCACAACAACCACAACCACCACCACAACCACCACCACAACAACCACCACTACAACAACCACTACCACTACAACAACCACCACAAACACAACCACAACCACCAAAACAACAACCACCACCACCGCAACAACCACCACAATAACCACCACTATAACAACCACCACCATAACCACCACAACAACCACCACAACCACCACAACAACCACAACGACCACCACCACAACAACCACCACAACCACCACCACAACAACCACCACAACAACCACCACCATAACAACCACCACAACAACCACCACAACAACAACAACAACCACCACAACAACCACCACAACAATCACCACCACAACAATCATCACCACAACAACCACCACAACAACCACAACCACCACCGCAACAACCACCACAACAACTACCACCGCAACAACCACCACAACAACGACCACCACAACCACAACAACCGCCACCACAACCACCACAACAACCACCACCACAACAACGACCACCACCACAACAACGACCACCACCACAACAACCACCACAACCACAACAACCACCACCACAACAACCACCACCACAACAACCACCACAACAACCACAACCACGACAACCACCACAACAACCACCATAACAACGACCACCACCACAACAACGACCACCACCACAACAACGACCACCACCACAACAACCACAACCATCACAACAACCACCACAACCACCACCACCACCACAACAACCACAACCACCACAACAACCACAACCACCACAACCACCACAACAACCACCACGACAACCACCACAACAACCACAACAACCACCACAACAACCACCACAACAACCACCACAACAACCACCACAACCACCACAACAATGACCACCACCACAACAAACACCACAACAACCACCACAACAACGACCACCACCACAACTACCACAACAACCACCACAACCACCACCACAACAACCACCACAACAACCGCCACAACAACCACAACCACCACAACAACCACCACAACCACCACCACAACAACCACCACAACAATCACCACAACAACCACCACAACAATCACCACAACAACCACCGCAACAACCACCACAACAACCACCACCACAACAACCACAACCGCAACAACCACCACAACAACCACCACAACAACCACTACCACCACAACCACCACAACCACAACAACCACCACAACAACCACCACCACAACCACCACCACCGCAACAACCACCACAACAACCACCACAACAACCACTACCACCACAACCACCACCACCACCACAACCACCACAACAACCACCACCACAACCACCACCACCACCACAACAACCACCACAAGTAAAACAAAGTGACAAAGTGACGAGCTGAGTGAAGACGAATTAAACTTAAGCGAGAGAATTGAAGCAAACGCGATCAGGCGAGGGCAGGAGGCACGGCCCCGCGTGGCTAGGCCCCGCGCTGTAAAGTTTCAACCTGGACATCGCTTCCATGTTCGCTGCTGCTCAATTGACATCCCTACGAGAGAGAGCGAGGCTCTACCTCGGTAAACAACAACCACCACCACAACAACCACCACCACAACAACCACCACAACCACAACCGCGATGCGAATTTCTCAACTCGGATTTCAGTGCACGGCGGAGCAGCAGCTTCCTGTTATCTCGTGACGTCACGCGGCAGCAGGAGGTGACATGACGTTACTTGAACAGAAAACGGCAGCGACCCAGGCACAGGGGACGTCACGCTCAAGGGCGCCTTGGAGGGGTGGGGTGAATACCTTGGTGACATGACGTTACTGGCGAGGTACACCTCCCCCCTGGCGTTTCACGCCGATGAGGTAATGCTGAGTGGTGACGTCACAGAGCGGGGTTGGAGTTTAAGTTGATTTAGATTCATTTTCCCTTGCTCCCTCCCTTGATCAGAGGCCCCTTGGGTGTGTGTGAGCTCAGCAACAACTGTGTGTGTGTGTGTACACTGTGTGTGTGTACAGTGTGTGTGTGTACACTGTGTGTGTGTACACTGTGTGTGTTTGTACACTGTGTGTGTACACTGTGTGTGTTTGTACACTGTGTGTGTGTGTACACTGTACACAGGTGGGGAGCGGGGCAGCGCGGGTTAAGCGTCTCTACCCATGGTGCACCGCGGGTTAGCGTCGCCACCCGTGATGCACTGCGGATTAACGGCCCTACCCACGATGCACCGCGGATTAACGGCCCGACCCGTGATGCACCGCGGACGGGCGGCGCGAGGGCTTTGAAAGGAGCACAAAAAGGGGACGCTTTGGGGAAGCACGAGGCTATCTTTTTTTATTTGACTGGAGATCAACA